GAAATATTGATTAATCAAATATTGAAAATATGGTTTCCGAAAAACTACAAGTGTTTGAAAATAATGAAATTTTAATAAATTATATGTTATCTCATAATTACAGGAACGAAATAATATTGTTATAGATCATATTTTCACCTTTAACGGGTTTCTTGATGTTATGTAAAATGAGGATCCTAAACGACAATCTATTAAAGACTGTCAACATATAAATGATTAGGCAAAATGAAAAGATGTCATACATGCGGAATTGAATTCCTTAAAGAAACTAAAATTATTTGGACATGTTGTATGAATACTTGAAAATGCAATCCATGTAGGATAAAAATAGATTTTTGTACAAAAAAGAAATGAAAATAATGAAATTACAAGATACAAAACCTGATCAAAACTCAAGATTTCTCACTAAGACCAAAATATGATTATGAGGAAACATATTCTTCCGTAATGGTTTAGATACTTTATTAGTCTAACTGTGTTACAAAAGCTCGATATACACCTTATAGATAAAGTAGTTCTATTTGTATAGTTCACTTAATAATAACATATATATGAAGTCTCTAAAAAACTTAAAGTGTTAGGAACAAATTATACACGATCGAGAATCATTTTCTCAATTAAATTGCAAAGATCTTTATATGGATTGAAGCAGTCCAAATGCATGTGATATAATTATCTTAGCGAATATTTGTTAAAGGGGTGTCATTAAATGACGATGTTTGCACATATGCTTTCATAAAAGAAAACAAATATTGGATTTATATTTGTGATAGTTTATGTTGATGATTTAAATTAAATTGAAACTCAAAAGAGTTCAATAAAAATGCAAATTATCTGAAAAATGAATTTCAGATTAAGGATTTTGGAAAAATCAAGTTTTGTCTTAATTGCAGATTGAACATATTCCAGAAAGATTATTTGTTCATCAATCTACATATATAGAAAAAATTTTAAAACGTTTTTATATGAATAATGCATTTTTATTTGCATCAATTACGGTTGTTCGATCACTTGATATGAAAAAAATTCATTCCGTCCACTTGAAGATAGAGAAAATGTTCTTTGTCCTAAAATATCATACTTTAGTACAATTGAAGTACTAACTTATCTTGCAAACTGCATTCGACTCAATATAACTTTTTTTTTGTAAATTTCCTTACAAGATATAGTTCTATACCAATTCAAAGATATTTGAATGATGTTAAACATATTTTTCGAAGGTACTATTGATTTGAGATTATTTTATTTTCAAAAGTTGAGACTTGCTTTAGTGTAATATGCAGATGCAAATTATCTCTCTGATCTACATAAAGTTAAATCATAAACATGATATTTATTTACACGTGGAGGAATAGTTATATCATGGAAATTTGTGAAGCAATACTTAATAGCAACAACCTCAAATTCTGAAATTATTGCAATCTATAAAGCAGACAGAGAATGTGTATGGTTGAAAAACATGACCCATCATATCTAAGAATCATGTAGATCTTCAACAAAAGTTAGTCCAACGATTTTGTATGAAAACACTGGAGCTTGATTTGTACAAATTAAAGAGGGCTATATCAAAGGTGACAAGACAAAACATATTTCTTCAAAATTCTTGTACACATGAATTTCAGAAGATGACGATATAGAAGTTCAACAAATTCGCTCAAGTGATGATGTGGCTAATTTATGTGCAAAAGAACTGCCGACATCTATGCTCAAGAAATTGGTTTAGGAGATTGAAATGTGTTGACTCAAAGATTTTCAGTAATCAACATTAAGGGGAGTAGCTATACTCTTTTTACTTCTCTTATATTTTATCCTACTAAATTTTTCTAGCAAGATTTTAATGAAACGGTATTTATTTTTAATATTTCAAAGTAATTGTACTATTTTTCCTTTGTTAGATTTTTTTGTTCCCATCGAATTTTTATCAAACGTGATTTTAACGAGACAAATATTTTGTAATGTGTCGTTCAAATGAGAGTATTGTAAATTGTAAGTTTATTAGTGAATGACTATTATATCTCTGTAGCCCTAAAAATTATTATTATTGTATCTCTAATAATTCCCTATAGATATACGGTTTTGGTTCTCATTATAATATACACGCTTTTATTGACTTTTGTTCTCTCTTCTCTTTTTTTCTCTTTTATAACAAAATTATATACTTGTAACTTCTTATTATATGGTAGAATCTCACTCTTTTAACCTCTTAGATGTGTTATCACTAACATACTATAATCAAATATAAATGTCTAGCTAAAGATGATTATACGACAAAGAAAGCTCTCCATATGTGATTTTATGAATTAGAGTGTGATCTTAACTTTAATTTTCTTGCTCAAAATTCTTGAACTTAAGACTTTTATATGCCTTCAAAGTTGAAAATTTTAGGCCTTGTTTGAACCCCATTTTAAAAAATGGAAGAAGAATTTTATAATAGTGATTTTTTGAGAACATGTGATTAGAAAGTATAGAAAATTTTTTAGTTTATGTGTAAAATTACTTTATTAAAAGAATATGCAATTGGAAATGAGTTTTGAGGAAAAATGAGGGTGAACTTGATTTGCTATTTTTAGATTTCAATTTTGCAAAACACTGCAAATGCGTTTAAGCTAGTATTTTTGAAGATAATAAAACTCAAAACACATTTGTTACAGTTTGAATATTTTCAATGAAAATTCCGAAACCACTCAAAACATGAAAATTTAAAAACAAGCAACTAAATAAAATTTTATTTAAGTAAAATTTAAAAATTAAAAATTTTATAAATTAAAAATATAAAATTCTAACAAATAAAATTTTAAAATTTTAAAATAATAAATTCTAAAAAAATTCTAAAAAGTAAAAAAAAAAAAAATTAAAGGTAACTTTAAAATTTTTTTATAAAAAAAATATTTCAAGCTCTTAATGGTTATTTACATAAAAAATTTAAAAAATATATCTAAATGAACACAGCTAAAATTATTTTCAGATCACATCATTAATTTTAATTTTTTATATTTTGTACTCAATTTATTATTTGTTTTTATTTTATTTTTGTAGCGAGAAAAATATTGTAAGATTCATCAATTTTAAAATATATTACTTGATAATATATTAACATATATTTTTAAAATTTTTACTGAATAATCAAATTTAATGAAATAAATTTATCATAAAATAATTTTCAAAATTTCAAACTAAACGTGTTATCTAGTTTTTTAAAAAAAGTCCTCAAAATTAAAAATTGAAACACGAATCGAACGAATCCTGAGTTTTTACAAAATCGGGTTCAAACAATGGCTAATTATCGGTTCTGAGTGTGTTGGTCGAATTGATGAGAGTACTACCATTGAGAGAATCTGCAAGAGCAGGTAACAAGATCAGATGGGATTTCCAGATAAAATTCAAAAGTGTACAGGGTATTTGATGATAAAGAATGTCAGTAAAAATTCTCTTTTTGTTCACTTCCTCGGTGTGATGATTGCCAATACAAGAAAACAGCTGCATATTCAAACATCTTCATCAATAATTGAAGCTATGCCTATCAACAGACAGCCCATGATTCCAACTCATCTATCATTTTCTTCAAACACATATAATCCTCTGCTTTTAAACTTAATTAGTCACAATCTAATAAGTTAATGTTAGATTTTTATGTGATTAAGTTTATCCAGAGGACCCCTCTCCCCTTCATCCTTCACATGTTGCCCACTAACTCTGCATCTCAGCCGTTAGATGTCTGGGCCCCTCTGTTTAATCTGTACTTATATACTAAAGATTTGCAAGGAAATGAATCAAATCATTATAATAGGGTAATTACATCAGATCAGTACATATAGCTCTATTATCTGTGTCAGATGGAACCATTGTCTTTGTGTCATCATCTTGTTTTTAGAATTTCTTTTATCTCAAAGTGGGCTTAGGTTAAAGAGAACAAAGGTGGCACATTTATCAGTCAAGAAAGTCCCTAATTCCAATTACCATCAAATTGTGAAGAAATTGAAGCGATCTTTCTTGATTATTGGAAATGAATATTATGGTACACTACCTGCAAGGCACATGATCTTACTTGGGGACATTAATAGATCACAAAACTTATCTCAAAAGAAGGTTTATCTTCAAACCAAACATGATAAAAAATCAATCATGCTACTTGTACATTTTATTTGACACCAAATTTAACATTATGCCACGTATCGTAATATGATTAGACAATTTTTAAAAATTACACACTTTCCCACCAACGACATTTTGAATTTCCAAAACATGTCAAACTTCATGTACAATGTGGAATGTACAAAAAGATTTATTCGATAAAAATTCCCATATCACTCTTCTTTCCTCTCCCTCCATCTAATTACAAAGAACCCCACATTCCCCCACCCCAAACAAGGGCACTACACTAATAGCCTTTTCACATACTCCAATTAAGCAAATTGAACCACAGATTGACAAGTGTCAAAATTTGATTGAACCACTTGGATGATTTGGCAATACCAGTCATGGACAAACATGTGTCTCCTTAAAAATTCTCAAAATTTGATTGAACATCTTGGATGATTTGGCAATACCAGTCATGGACAAACACGTGTCTCCGTAAAAATTCTGCTACATGTACAGAATTTTTGTATGCTTGCATCGTCAACCTATATGTACAAGTACAGAATAGGATAATGGGGTGTTTGTTTCCCATTTTTATAAGAATGAGAATAAAAAATATAGTCGTTATTAGTCTCACACAAAAGATAGAAATTCAAATTTGATGACTTGATGTAATGGATAATAGTCATATTTTTTATTTTAATGAGAAAAAAATGGTAAACAAATGGGGGCTAAATTATTAATTGGTTTCCAACCCAAATTATTAAACTAAGTGAAGGGCAAGGGTACTAAGGAGGGATGGTGGAGGGAGGGTTGAATGATGGATCCAAAAGGTAAAAGTACAGAATACGGTGAATTATTAATTCATGTGCAATATATGGAGTTCATCCCAAGCAAGTGACAAAGAGATCGACCCAGTAAATATGAGGGAAAATAGGAGGCCAAAAAGCATATAATAAACCCATCATCTATCAGAAAAAAATAAAGAAAGAGAGAGAAATATTTAAGTAAAAAAAGAAAAGAAAAGAAACTTCGTTTACCTTTCTGCCTTATACACTCTGTGTGTGTGTGTGTGTGTTTAGCCATGAAAAACACCATCAGATGCTGCATATCTTGCATACTTCCATGTGGAGCTCTCGATGTAATTCGAATAGTACATACTAATGGCCATGTTGAAGAGATCAGTGGCACCATAAAGGCAGAAGAAATAATGAAATTACATCCAAACCATGTTTTAAAGAAGCCCTCGTCACCGTCTGATGAAGGGATGTATGCAAATATTGTTGTGGTTCCTCCTGATGCAATACTTCAACGTGGGAAGATTTATTTCCTCATGCCTCTGCCTTCTCGATCCCATAAAACTCCAGCAAGATCGTCTACAAGGAGAAAAAAGAAAGAATCTGAAAGCGAAGATATTCCAAAAAATAGGGATCTTTCTATGAAAAACCTACTGGTTTCTGATCAGTATTTAAGTGAGATTTTGTCAGAAAAGCTTTCAACACAGAGAGATCGAAGGAGAGGGCGTGTTGGCGTGTGGAGACCTCACTTGGAGAGCATTTCAGAGACAACAAACGATGCTTAATGCCGAGTAATCTTTTTCTTTTTTATTTTTTTTCTCAAGATTATCAATTAGGGTTTTTAGAACTCGTAATAAGCCCTCTCCTTTTTCTTGGTTCAATTTTCTTTTGTGGTTGTATATATTATTCATAAGTAATAAACCAAGTTCTAACATAGGTAAAGTAATCATATATCGAACAGAGCGAAAAAGAATTATGAATTATTGTGACAATGAGTTCACTCTATGCTGCAAGAAAACATTACAGCATGAGTTCAATCTTGAACGTGGATCAGAAACAATTTTTGGAAAGAGAGAGTATTTTGGATCCTACTTCTACTGTTCATGAACAGTGATATAGCTGTGTGTTTTACTTTGACTTGAATGAGTTTAAGGAGAGATTTTGATGTTAATGATTATATGGCACAATATCATAATTTTTCTTGGAGAGAAAAATCAGTTTCCATGTTTCCTGGTGGTAGCTCCCTAAACTCTGGGCACACTGGTAAACCTTAATTTAAAACCTAACAATCGAGATGAGTTGAGATTTGAAGTTCAAAAATGGCTTCCAACTTGTTGCCCACACAATCATTTATTAACACATCACTTTAAATTAACATGTTCGATTTTTTTCACACTACCACTCGTGTTTAAAAATATGTGTAAAATAATGTTTCAATAAATTATTGTTGGACAGTCAAATTGAACTTTCAAAACGGCGGACTTAATAAAATTTACACTCGATCTAGATATAATGCCTTGTATTTCGACTTGATCAAAGTTATCTGGATGTTGATGAAATAATTGTCCTCAGTGCTTTGAAGAATAAAATATTGCACTTGTAGAAAGTGGGTAGTGTCTTTAACATATTTGTGCTTTGAAAAGATAATTTATATGATGCCATTAGCATCATAGAAAGGTGATTACAGCAAGGTTATAGAGCTTTTTGGGGTCACGGGTGATAAGCCCATATTCAGGACCAGTTGAAAAGGTCACACAATTGTTGGAATCTAACTGATTGGATCAATCAAAATGTCATAGCATTTAGCTTTTCAGTTCATTCATTTACCTCGGCCCTAACCACAGAGTCACACACACACAAGTAATTATGCCCTTGTTTAGTGGATATCAAAAATGGAATTTTAGTAAATTTTATGGTTGGGCAAAACTCTTGAACTGAACTGAATTGAGAATCGACGAGTTCGATTCAATTTTCGATTCTAAGTTAAAAATCTAAGAAAGGAATAAAAATTGAATTTTTCTAATTTTTTAATTTATTTATTTTAAATAAGCCAAATTATTTTACTTTGTTTAAATAAATTTGCTAACTAGTTAATTTAACTCAAACCCAAAAATATAATTTCCCTATTTGTAATTTTCAGTCCAAACTTAATTTAATCAAATTGACATAAATTTTACCAAAATCTATTATTCTACCATAATGTCGTTTTCTACCGTTCTGGAGAAATCGAATTGAAACTCGACGTGCCTCTTTTAATTATTGTGAGCTCGCTATCTTTCTCTTCCTGTGATTTTAACATTCAAAACTATGAAGAACTCAGTAAATAGATATGCAAAGGACACATACGATTGGACTTCATTATTTTGTAAGAGTTAAAATTGAACATGTCATTAGTAGAATTAATGTAGCTTTATAAATATTAAAAAAATAAATTACAGTATAGAATTTGCGAACTGAACCAAACCTAAATCGTTCCATAATTAAATTTGAACTCGATGGTTCCACTTATTAAATATCCGAAAATTTCGGGTTCGGTTTGGTTCTCATTAGAATCGAATCGGACCATGCCCAACCATAGTAATTTTTTATAAAAGTTGATAAAACGTGTGATTAAAAAATTACGGATCCAATGAAATATATTATCGAAATTTATCTTCACTTTAACTCAAATTAAAATTTTAATTTTAATTTTCATTAAACTATATTTGATAAAAAAATTGATTGAGTAAAAGAGTTGGTATTGCTCGCTATCATGTACATTTATTTTCCTCTTCTCTAGTGATGGTGCGATGATCATGATGGTCTAATAATACAATGGATAAAAATATGAATTATTCTACATGAACACTTTGAGAAGTTCACAAATAAGTTACTCTCCTCCTCCTTAGGCAACAAAAGGATATGTTGCAATACTAAAGTGAGCTTGTCTACACCTTCCTTGATAGCAAACTCTACTCTAGTGTACTCATTTTCCACTTTAGTGTCTTCCTCCTCGTCCACTGTCTTGGGTTTTACCAAATCGACCTACTTTCTTTCGAGATAGGTATTGGAACGATGCCCAGGCTTGTGTCATCAATAATAAATATCTCCCATGGGCTTACCATGCGGATTTGCATTTTGATGTGCACTTCGAGTCTGACCTCTGTTTCCAAATCAACCATTGTTGTCAACATTACTCTTGTTAGGACTGGTTGGGGGTTGTTTCGAGGCCTTTCCTTTGTCTGAAGGAATGAATGATGATGTTTTGATAGGAGGGAGCCTCCAATATGAAATCGTCCTTTTATCAAATTCTATCATCTCAGCTTTCATCGTCATGTTAATGGTTTATTGTAGTGTTCAAATATTCTGCAATCCAATTCCATTTTGAATAGCCACCTTCAAACCACTGGTACACCTAATTATCCTTTGATTTTCGAATTTTGACAAATTATTTCGCTCTATCAATCGCAAAAATTTGTTAGTGTAGTCTAATACTGAACGACTACCCTGTGTGCATCCCAGATACATACGATATAAAACTTGTTCATAATCTATAGCTAGAAATTGATTCATTATAGACTGCTTCATCTTTTCCCAAGTCCGAATCCAACTATTTCCATGTTTCCTTCGAGCATTCTGTAATTGTCCCTACCATACTGCTTTCGCAGATTTCAAATGAAATGCCACCATCTTAACTATTTGGTCCTCTGAAACATTCATAATTTTGAAGAATCTTTCAACATCTACCAATTAATCCAAGAAGTCGATGGTCTTCATGTTACCAAAGAACAGGGAAATGTTTGCTTTAATCCGATAATCATCAAAGGTATTCCATTTCGATGATTCAGGTTACATGGCGGCACTTCAAACTTCTCCTCTGACTTTGATTCACTATCTTCTACTACACGTCTCTTTTTATTTCCTCCCCAACAATAAGCTTAGCGATTGGTTCATTATTAATTAGCTATTGTTCATTCTGTCAATTTTTTCCAGCACCCCATAGCAACAGTTGATGAATCTCTTCGATTGGAGTGGTAAGATTGTGTCGATTTTGAGTGTACACATCTACCCTAGTAATTGGTACGTCACCCATAGTTATGAATCAGAAATATAGAGACGGAAAAGTTGGCTTTGATGCCACTTGACGCAATGCAAAACAAGAAATTTAAGTGAAAATCTTAAAAATACGAAATTTGGAATCCACCAAATTATGAAAAAATAAACTCATAATTTTTATTAATGAAAAGATGAACAAAAAAAAAAACAAAATAACCCCTCATTTATAAAGGTTTACATAGCTACCTAGTTTAAGATGACTAAAATAATTAAAACCTAATTCAAACGAACTAAAGTAAAAAATAAAAAATAAACTAAATGACAAAAATAACTCTAAATTTTTAAAAGCAGTTTTTGAGTCTTAAACGAACTCGGAGGCCGAAATCTATCGTACATTAAAGCAAAGTGATGAGTCTCACTCGTCTTGACATTCTCTTTACGAAATGGTATTATGGACCCAAATTGGAGTTCAGATGCCCTCTCTTCACTATTAACCTTTTCTCATTTCAATCCAATTCTTTTTTAATCCATCCAACAATCTGTTCTAATCAATAAGCCTAACATCTAGTGTCTTTTCTTATTTTTTTATGGCTTGTTCAATGAGAAGAAAATTATAGATGTGACAAAACCCTACGATTTTTTCATATAGTGAAAAGCTTAAATAGTCTGTAAATTTATATTATGTTGCCTTCATTTAATTGTCCGTATCTTTGATCAGTACTACTCTTTTGAGCTAGTAAGGATCAATATGTGATACCGTACACAACAAGCCATTTTGTTAAATCTTTGCAAGGGATAACATAAATTCATGATACTTGAGAATGATTAGTTACTCTTCAGTATCAACTATCATTTTTCTGATTTACTTGGAAGCATTGTCTTTTATAAATCAATTATTTTTCAAATCAATTTAGATGGGGTCATTCAAAAAAAATAAAAATAAAAAATAAAAAATAAAAAATAAAAAAAAATAAAACTTGATTAAAAGTATAATGGAAAACATATTTGATTGATACGAAACAAATTGCGATCCAAATATTTTTAAAATAATATAAAAGACAAGGCCAACATCCAAAATTTTGATATAGAAACAAATATATATATTTTTTTCTTTGCATAGATCCATTTTGATAAAAAAAATATGAAAAACAAAAATATTAAGGAAGAAGAAAAAAAAAATATGAAGACATATACTTTATATACACGAGGAATATGTCATAGAAATCAACCTCATGAGAGGTTTATGTAATTTTAAAAAATAGAAGGGATGTGATATTTGTGTGTAAAGAGAAAATTCATGAAATTTATCTCTAATTAATAAAAAGAATGTCATTTTAAATTAAAAGAAACGGTGATTTTTCCATAAAAATATTAGTGTTAGAAATATTTGTGCCTACATATTTTCGTGTGGATATACAACGCCTTATCTGCATCTAATTCAACTTTGTTGGATATATATTTTACATTCTCTTGTATAAATTTTACCTCACTCTTGATCTATCTTTTTTGTTTCGTTCTATATCCCCTCTCTAGTGGTGTCAAATGCGTCATGTCAAACATAATTCATTATACAATTTCATTTGCCAATTCAAGCCTCCACGAACTCATGTTGCTCGACCCATCTTGAACGTCTACTCCTTTTTCACATTGCGTACTGCTACATTAATCCTCCATTCACCAAGCTACCCCTTTTCGTTCATTACGTAATAGTTCAAGATATTTCTAAATGGCTATTTCTAGAATAGTTCGAGAGTCTTTGAAACAAAAGTCTTTTGAGTAATAAAGAGAGTTGCCAAGAAGGACTCAAAATGGAAAATGAGCCTAACATAGAAAAAAAAAATTCAATTATTGTGTTTTTCTTTCGTTGACTTGATTATTCTTTACATATTTTTTAAAATAAAAAATAATAATTACACAAAATTTCACTTAAAAAGTTAAAACACACTAGAATAGCCGAGACGAGACGAATCGGATCTAGCCTTCCTTATCGGCCCAGTTCCGAAGCCCACTAATTCAACAGATGGAATAAATCTAAAACCATCAGCGGCTTGAAACAATAAGAAGATCGTAATCGTGATATAGCAGAGTTTACCAATAAAATTCCGCAATCGCGTGAGCCACGCGCCCCGGCGGTACCCTCTCTCCCCTTAACCCTTCTTTCCCAACATGTTTACCGCACGTGCCAATTCGCCATCCGGCGCCCCCTTCGCCGCACTTACTTTATCTCACCCACTCGCCAAAATTATTAATCCTCTGTCTACTCTCTTCTCTGTCAAATCTTCAACCTCAGATCACCGTCGAAATTACCATAATCGCTGATTCTAGATCCATGAGCGATTTTATGGAATCGTCGACGCCGGCGCGTCAGGTACCGTTCCGAGAGGATTGTTGGACGGAGGAGGCCACTTCGACGTTGGTTGACGCATGGGGCCGCCGTTACTTGGAGCTCAACCGTGGGAATCTCCGACAGAAGGATTGGCAGGAGGTAGCTGACGCCGTTAACGCACGCCACGGTCATACCAAGAAGACGCACCGCACCGATGTTCAGTGCAAGAATCGAATCGATACCCTCAAGAAGAAGTATAAGATTGAGAAGGCCAAGATTGCTGAGTCTAATGGAAACCTAACCTCGTCATGGCCTTTCTTTTCTCGTCTTGATGTTTTGATCGGCTCTAATTTTAACAAGCAGCAGAAATTTACGCCATCGCCTATCCCGTTGGTGTCTCAATCGACGCCGTCGTTGCCCCTGCCGTCGCCTCCGATGGCTGTTCCGTTACCGTTTCGTAATTTGCCATCTGCGATGTTTCCTACGGCTATTTTGCCTCAGAAGCGTCCCTTTTCCTCTTCATCACCACCGCCACCAATGGTGGAGGAGTCGTATTTCAGGAGGAATTACTCTGCCATGGCTGCTGCCGCCGCTGCGGCCGAGGATGCACCTGATGCAGAGGATGAGGGAGACTCGGGTGGGGATGAAATTGAAGTGAGCGAAGAGAGGGGCGCGGAAGTGGAGGAGGGAGATGAGGGGATGAGGAGATTGGCAAAGGCGATAGAGAGGTTTGGAGAAATTTATGAGAGGGTGGAAAGCATGAAGCAGAGGCAGGTGATGGAGCTGGAGAAGCAGAGGATGCAATTCGCCAAGGAATTGGAGGTTCAGAGGATGCAGTTATTTATGGATACTCAGGTCCAACTCGAGAAGATCAAGCAGGCTAAGCAAGCTGGATCTTCTGATGGTATTGCTTTGAATCTTGTATTATTTCATGAATTTTGTTTGTCAAGTTTGTGACTTGAAGTATATTTTTGTGAGTTCGTTGTCCTTCATAATAGTTTGTCAAATGTTGCATATTTTAGGGGATTGAGTAGCAGATATTATAACTTCTCATTAATCTCTTTAGAAGCTTATATTATATTTCTGTGTGTCAAAATTGGGTTTGTATATTTTGCACTTGGTGGTTTCTTACATTAGATGAGAATTCCTAAAGAATATGGAAGATATCTACCTGGTGTTGAAGTTGAGTTCCAACCTAACTGACACCTTAGTGTCCTCAAATATTTTTTACACATTAAACATTTCTTGTTTCATTATGGTTTCTAGCTATATTTATTACTGTTGCATGGCATCGGGGTGGTTTGATAGGTTTAGGACTGCATGAAAGTTTGTGCTTTAATTGCTATAATCCTGACTATATGACTGGTGAGCTATATCCATTAAATTAAAGTGTATGACCATTCCTTTGACTCTTGATTGTATTTATGCTTTTTATTCAACGAAACTATAATTTTTTTTTTTTTAATATTAACCAACCCTTAAGCTTTACATGCTTGAGCTTTTAACTTTTAAGAAACTTTAGATAACCCGATTTTTCACTCAAGTGTACAATGATATGTGTTATGGCAATGAATTAAAGTTGGTCTTTTACACTGCACAGTGTTAGTTCTGTGCCGTATTTATCTCCATGGACATTGATGCTCTAACACGGCAATGAAGTAAAGTTGGTCTTTTACACTGCACAGTGTTAGTTCTGTGCCGTATTTATTTCCACGGACATTGATGCTCTCAGTGTAACTTTATGTCGAAGCACTTCAAATAAAGAGGCTGAAACTAATGTTATGGTTTTTGGCATAGCAGGAGGTTGAGCATTTCCTTGCATTTCTTGTTTACCTGGTTGAGTTTTTCTGTGTTTCTCTTTTCATTGTTTAGATTGCTATTTGTATCCAATACAAAGCTCTAGTTTGCTACTTGCTTTGAAATTGTTTTTCCTTTTTCTGTCATGGAATAGAGGTTTTCCAAATTCTATGCTAAGGGAGAACAACCCCAAGAAAAATCAAGTTACTTGCAATTACTACCTACCAAATAACTTCACTCTTAAATGAAGACTGTTGCTCAGGATGTCATGTGCCTTTTTAGAATAATATTTCATATATTAAGAGCCCGTTTGAGCCATGTCATTCCAAAAAAATACATTGTTTAACAGTGATTTGACATCATTTCAACCACACATTTTTCAATAAAATAATATTACACGCGGATCAAAAACTTTTTCTTATATTTTAACCACTCATTTTCCATCAATACACTATTCAAGAATGCATTATTACCAAAATAATGTGGCTTAAACACCCCCTAAGACATGACTATTTCTTGTTGGTGGTTTTGTGTACTTATCTATTATTGTGAGCTGGAATTTAATTTGTTTGAAGCTTTGAACAACATTAATCAACAAACAATGAATTCTCTTAAGCGTGAAATGAATCTCAATATAGATTTGTTAGCTCCATTCAAATGCTCTATCTTTAATAGGGATGACTTTGTATTATCATAATTTGATACAATAATTCTAAGGTATGGGTTTATCATTCTGCATGCTTGACTTTTGGGAAGTTCGGCAAGGACTTTTCACATGGTGACGATGAATGAGGCCGAAGCATCAAATCAATAAAGATGAACCCTGTGATGACTGACTTCTTAGGTCAGATTATGGAGTTCAATTGTTGGATTTGTGGACAGCCCCTTTAACAGAATAGTAGTGTTGAAAATTGTGTCGACTCTCTAAAACTTTGCTGATAATAGATCTAACTTATGGTAGAACTGTAGAAACTTTGTACTTCCATATGGCTGTGAACAAAATATTTTTCCTTTGAGCCCTTTTGAATTTTCTTCTTCAAACTGTGTGGCTACCTACTCAGCTAGTTTCAGGCTTCTCCCAAGTTCAGTAGTCTTCTTCTTGACCATAAGAACCCTTAGTGCCTGGAGTTTTAAATAATGCTAAAGATATCAGGATTCTTTGCCTTTTCACTTTCCGATGATGTTTCAGTTTCAATTTGGCTTTTTCATTGTTCAGCATGTAGGATTCACCTATACCTCGGCTATAAAATTTGTCCTCCATGCCCTCGTCCTCCATATGATGAAAAATGATTTTTCTGAATCTAAGAAGAGACTGGACTGATTTCTCAAATAATAACTTGAATATGTTAATAATAACTTGAATATGTTTTTTGGCGATGATTTGAAGAAGTTATTTTAGTTAATTGTTGGACAGGTACCCCTTCTACTGGACTATAAAAGCAAGGGATCCAGAAACTCCATAAAAGATTCAGAAGTGCATGCCATTAAAATTGCTCGAATATGCTGAAAAATTAATTGGGAATGCAAAAATATTCATTTGTATTGGCCTGAATCAGTTCGTGGAGAAGGATATAGGTTTTTTATGTTTTTGTGTGGGGTTCATTTTTAGTTACCTTAACTATGTGGAGTGATGGTTTAAATTATTCAGATTATGAAGGCATGTCAACTTGAGTATCCTTTTCATTCAATGTTTTGAATTCTTTGGTAGAAGGTTGAGCTTGTGTGTTTGAATGATGCAAACTCTGTATTGATCGCGCAGCTTGAAGTTATGAAACCTAATCACGTGGCAACAAGATGCAATTTGATGTTGTAGTGTAGTAGTGGCCAATCATACTCTCTTAGGTACATCTAGTTGTTTTTGACCTGTTTATATTAGTGCAACTTTGATACTCATAATACAGTTTCTTAAAGGCTTTACTGTGTTGTGATGCAGATATTTATAGTTAGCTGTGAGGAAGAGAACTTGATGGCTTTTGGAGTTGAAGCACAAATAGCTTTTGCGAGTCCTTGATGATTTGCACATAATTTCTGTCAATATTACTATAAAAACATTGGATTTGGCAAATTTTCAACAGAGAACTTTCTGTATTCTAGTGAATAGAAGATTGTCTGTTATATTGTGTCTGAATTTTATTAATAACTTAATTATGCAGTTAATTTAGTAGGTTCTATATCCTTGATGTCTCTGTATGCCAAACTCTAGTGCCTAAGTTTGGCCTGCTGAAACTTAAAACTTACGGTGCATTGTTCTAGTTAAAAATGTTGATTTCTTTTGTATTTTTTCTACATTTTCTTGGAAACATGAAATTATGAACATTTACATGAATTTTTCTCAATATGCATAGCTTATGTATTGGCCACACACCTTTTTTTTTCCAATATTCTTTGTTCAAATTTTCTGCTCCTTCCAGTTTTTTCTTAATAGGCTTTTGTAGTTGCTTCCCCCCGCCCCCCCTCCCTTCCCAGCCTCCCCCCTGTTTCTGTAGCATCCCTAGCTTGTTGAAGATAACATTTTTTTTTTCTCTTTTACTTGTATTATAGAAATGTTCATTTGTTACGGACTGAACAATCCATTTTGCAGCTAGATTTTAGTCTTTTATTGAGATACAAGATTTATCTAGGTATACAATAATACATCAGTATCACTTAGAAATCTTGATGTAGCCAACATGAGAGGGGTCAGAAACCTTGATTAAAGTGCCAAGCACTGGTACCATTAAGCACTTTGAAGACTCCATCCTATAGAAGAATCCCAAGCATTTGCAATTTTTGCTACACTCGTCTCTGCACTGGGCTAGCTTCATGGGTCCAGACCCTTCATTGTATGCACTAGTGAAGTGTTCAACACCATCAACCTTGTAGTAATCTGCATTTGAGCCACCTTTGCACGGTGGGAGCATCGGTTCTGTGCAGGCAGTGCTCCATCCTAGCAAGCCCTGAGGCCTTGGGCATGCTACACATTGATCGTGATCGCATACTCCTAATGATCCACATCTTTTAGGCAGTTGGCATTCGCTTGCTCGGTCATTATCCCGGTCGAAGAGCATGTATGTTACCTCCCAGGCACCCCAATCCACGTTCGTATTGTACGTGTACATTCTTAGGTTACCATCAGTGTCAACTCGGAGCATAGTGTAAGTGCTATTGTATTTGGGTCTAGACAGTATGTTTGTCCCGAAGCTATTTGAGTTGCTTAGATTGAATCTAAACCCGAGCTCGAATGCGAAAGTTCCGCCATACTCTGGTTCACAATAGAAACCAAGGTAAGCCAAAGTGCCTTTCCCATTTCCAAACTCGTTCGATTTGTAGTAAAGCAAAGGCTTCTGTGAATTCTTGGTTTGATAATACATGGCCCAATGCCTTTGCTCCATGACGAAGGCATACGGTCCACTAGAAGGTTCGGTGATCGACAACCGGCTCACGAGCCTAGTTGGGCCACCGGAGGGTTTCAAGGCTTGGCCCACCAAGAGTGTATCCGATGTATAATTAAAGCTTTGCCACACATATTTACCTTTACTATCGTACAACACCAAGTTGCCATTTGGTAGCAAGTCTAGACCAAGGACACCCTTATTGGCCGTGTTGGTTTGCCAAGCCACCGTGCCATCGACATCTGCCAAGACCAATTTCCATCACTATTAAATGTCAATGTTGCATTTTCCTGCACTGGCTTACCACGGTTGGCGTCCCAAACCCAACGCATGACAGACTCAGATCTTCGGTGACCCATTCGTAGTCCTAGAATAAAGGCATTAGGAGTGGCATTATAGAAACAAAGAGTAAAGGGATACTTGACAATGTCTAATGTGCGGTAGTCAGTTGAATACTCGACGAAGTATTCTCCTAATGAACCTTGGTTAACATACTTGAATGTTTTTGAAGGTGGAACAATCGCTTTAGTCGCAATAGACGAAGTAAGAAATGTGATAAGAAATGGAAGAAAAAACGAAGGAGCCATTGTTGAGGTATGTTTTTGAATTTAAATAATGTGTATGCATGTATTTATAGGGATATTTACATTACACCACTTGCCATTTTCGATGGGCTATCAGAGGTATTTGGATATTAAGATTGACTCTGGCCAATTGAATCAAGCCATGAAGATAATTTACATAATAAATAACGAAATGGCCGTTTACTATGTGAATCTTATCCTTAATAGGTCGCATCGGGAAAGGCGCAGTGTTCCGAAATGTGATTTAAAGAATGGTTCAATGAGATTATCCAAGCTAACAATATAAAAAAGGTAGACAATAGAAAGACATTTAATTGAAATTTTATACTTATATGATTTTATTTTTGTCAATAATTCCCTTAATCTTTTAGTGTATATTTGACAAAGTTTATAATTACTTATCATAGTGCTTCTTTTACCTTCAAAATAGAGAGAGAAAAAAATTATAAATAAAATGGAGTTATTTGTTGAGGAATTAAAGTTATATGTAAATCAATATTACATATTGTTAATTTGGGTGTATATATATTTGGAGTTTTGGACACTAGAAAATTTATGTAACAAATTATGTTGTAGATCTCGGACACAAGTTTAATTAACTAAATTTTGTTACCATGGTTTGTTATAAATATGCACACCCTCCTCATAAGTTTAACTAAATTTTCTAATTAATTATTGAAACATGTAATTGAATTATGGATTAATCTTGTTGTACATTACCTTGTATATAAGGGTGTCCATGTCCCGGCGCCTCGGCGTGGGCCCGTGCATGGCAGGCGCCTTGGGTGACCATTATGGACACTCTTATTTACAAGGTGATGTACTACATGCTCCATGAATTATTATATGATATGAAATCTATATTTATGTTTGAATCATTGAGGCCTTCTCAATTTCGATTTTCAGGAAATATACATAACTATCTTGTTATTTTATTCATTATCAGGAAGTATACATGTTGCATATATAATAAATTAGCATAATTAAGCCCCCATTAATTTTGATCATATTGGGAGAATAGTGCTTTTTGAAAAATTGATGGTTGTAAAAGAATGAAAAGTTTTTGATTTACATGTAATATTATTTTATTGAAAATTGTGTGGTTAAAAATAGAATTGATAAAAATTTAATTTAATTTAATTTGATGAGATTTAATGAGGGCCAAACAGGGGCTAAAACGAGTTTAGAATTTGATTGTATAGCAGTACCAAGCCGTAGAAGAAAACAAGCTGCCGCATACCTTAATTAAAATTCTATGCATTTTAGCTCAATTTGACTATTATTATTTCTCTCAAGTTGTCAGTATAATTATTTCTCAAGTTGTAACTATTATGGGTATTGAATTTGAGCTCTTCCGTTTGGCCATTAGGACTTTTAGGGGATTTAACAATGAGCATTTATTGATGGAAAATTTAATAAATCTTACTACAAATTACTAAATAATGTTATTCATAGTCAAAGACCGTAATAATTATCCTATGTGACAACTTGTTATTTGAAATATTAATTTTCTATAAGTATGTTGCCTTAAATTACAAGAAAATAACGTTTTATATAACAAGTTGCCTCACAATACGATTACTACAATCGCTATCTATGAATATAATTACTCCAAATTGCTTGACTGATTTGAGAGTTAAAGGACTTTCACTAGACAACCCCAATAGCACCTTAGATGTGCGTTCTTTTGTAAGTAAATCCAGCCAGTAAATCAATTAAAGATTTTTATTTTTCACGTTTTGAATATTAATTGATTTTGATGTCAATGATGCTTATCTTTACTTGACTTAAATGAGTTTAATGCAACTTAGATCAGACCTTCGAACTCAACGGTGATTGTAAAAATACTTGATAATTCCTATATTATCTTCTTGTTAAATGGTGATTAGAGGTGCTTACAAACAAAAATTAGATAAATTGAAATAGGAGTTATCTAAGAAGTTTGTAATGAAGGATTTGAGTGTTGCAAAATAAATCATTGGAATGATGAAGTCATGAAATTATCATATGAAGATTACGTGAAGAAGGTTCTAAGCAAGTTCAAAATAGATGATGCAAAACTAGTGAGTACTCCTTGACTAGTTACTTCGAACTATCAAAAGAGCTGTCACTCTTTATGGAGCAAGAGCAAGTATACACGATAAAAGTGCCATGATAAGTGTAGTTTTTACACTTATTTGGGATCGTAAAGGATGATGTTTTGTTATTTTTAGACAAACTACTACTTAATTTGTTAATTATTGCTTTATTATGAAAAGTTCATGTTTCGAAGAAGAATTGGAAGAAAGAATGGAAAAGGGGTAAAATGAAGCAAATCCAAAATTTGAGGACTAAAATGCAAATAATTAAAAGTTATTTCAGACCTCACGATGAAGATTTGAGAGTGCCTTGGTCAATTAGATGATGAAAGAAGTCAAATAGATGAATTATAGTCAAAATATTATCATACATCAACTTTCAACGGAAAAAGTTATACTTCGAATTTTTAGTCTCACATTGAGACCCAATTTTGGCAAAGAAAACTTTCGAATTGGAAAAATGATATACTTGTAGCTCTCTAAGTAAGCTTTCTAACGCATTTCGAATCACCCCAATCGGATATCGGGAGAGAAAGTTATAAAAAAAAAAAAAAAACTAAAAATTGTTTGGCTACCAGAACTTAGTCAAAGCGCATGCCCTCGCCTGCAGGAGAGGCGCGTGCCCCCAACCAAAAAGGAGGCGACTGAGGCACCCAAGGCTCCCAGGCGTGCGCCTCAATGTTAAAACTGGAAAAATTTAGTTTTCCTTATGTTATTTTGGTAAAGAGTCTTCTTGACATCATATAAATAGGAGAATACGCTCATATCATTGAGAACCTCACTTAAACCTAAAAATTCATAGACTCGGCATATTTTGGAGGCGAAGAACGAGGCTACATCATCAATATCAAGGGAATTGTGAAATATTCTTAAAAATTATCCATCCAAAATCAAGATTTCATTCAAAAAAATGGATTTCTTTACTATTTCCCATATTTCTTCGATATGAGTAATGTCTTTTTATTATTTCTTATATAATTAATAATTAGGATGGTTTGCTAAGTTTTTCATTGTATTGGATGAATGATGTACTCTATTGTTTGTTTATTTTAATTCAAGACAATTAATTTAGTATTTCATGATTTTTCTTTATTGGTTTTGCATTCTCATTGAACTATTTAATTGCTTGATCACCAATTAAATAGTAAGTTGCTTATTGTAGTGTAGGGAACGCATTAGCTGTCTGTTCTCAGGTTGGACAGTAAAGGTCAAAAGCTGGAATTCGAGAAGAGAAGACTCCCAAGAGCTTCTTGTAATAATTTATATAAGTCTAGAACGCAGTAAAATCAACACATGGATAATA